CATAATACAATACAGACATTGTGACAAATAGAGAACATTGAACGTGACCCGAGTCATCCATCAGCAGAATCCCAGTACCAGCAGAAGATTCTATTCCCAAAGTAAATATTAGAGGTGTTCTATACTTGGTCTCCACCATCACACAACAGCATTGACACCGACCACCATCATCATCACACCCATCATCTTCACCATCATCACACAATTGTCCACCATCTCTTCCTTCATCAACAATTTCAAAAAGACAAGAAGATGAATTCCCAAACTATTGGACTGGGAAAGAACATTTTATATGACAAGCTTGGCTTGGACTGGAAACTGAGCAGAAGGAAATGAGAATCATCAATATGATGAAGGGGGAGGGGACCCTCAGGAAGCGCATTGGCTTTTCTCCTAACATGAACAATAACAATCCACTTATATCAGTGTTGTGATGTTCTCATCCTTTCTATACTCCATCATCATCAATTGTCCATGACAGCTTCCCACCAACAACCCATTCTACATCACCCCTTCCTCCATCAAACCATTACCCACCACACCTTCCTCCATCTCCCCATTCCTAATCATCCCATCACCCACTTCTCCATCATCGTTTCCAGCATCACCCCACGGTTGTCCAACGCTCCTTCCTCCATCATCACAATATTGTCCATCCCCCTTAGCTTCATCAATCCTTTCTCAGTCACCCCTTTCCACCATTACCCCTTCTTCCATCAGCCCCTTCTGTCATAACACCATTATTCATGACCACTTCCAAAACTGACCACCGACCATCACCCTTTCCTCCATTATCACACTGTTAACCATCACCCCTTCCAAAATCATCCCTTCCACCATCATCCCTTCCACCATCATCCCTTCCACCATCATCCCTTCCACCATCATCCCTTCCACCATCATCCCTTCCACCATCACACCATGATCTGCCACTGCTCCCAACATCAACCTCCACCATCACTCCCTCATCCCTTCCACCATCACACCATTCCATTGTATATCTCTTTCCACTTCTCATATACCGACATCCTCGGATACCTTTCTAAGTTTATAATATAAATCCTTTTCTCTAGAACGCGTCTTTTACCATAGCAGCCTTTCCAGGACACAAGTTCCAAAAATAAGTCAGCAGCTGCTGCCGTGGAAGTTTCCTTACCCTGAGGAAGGAGTCCAGGGCGCCGTTCTCCATGTACTCGGTGATGATCATGACAGGACAGTTGTTGGTAATGACTCCCTCCAGGTGGATGATATTAGGATGATGGAACTGCCCCATGATGCTGGCCTCGCTCAGGAACTCCCGCCGCTGGCGTTCCGTGTAGCCGCCCTTCAGCGTTTTGATGGCCACGTAGTTCTCCTTTTTACCTGGGACTTTCAGCCGGCCGCGGCACACTTCACCAAACTCACCTACCGGAAAGAAAAGCTTATTAGAAATAAAAAAAAAAAGCTTGAGAATGACCGAAAATGTAATGATGGAGACCTTGGAAAACCTATGAACACCCAAAAATACTGAACATACACCCTTAAAATATGTGGGCATCAGTGGTGGCAGAGGCGACGTGAGGAAAGCCCAATAAATACCTCCCACTATCTCTCTACATCCTCAATCTGTTTCTAGAACATGGCTTTTGTACACACCCTATGGCTTCATGGATGGTCCCGCCTCTTTCCACGTTCCCCATCTCCTATATGTTCTCCATCACAACCTTCTCCTTGGCCATTTACACTCCCAATTTAAGCTCTGATGACCGAATCGGCCCAATTTATTTTCTCACTAACGACCATCCACCGTAACTCTTTGAACAAGCTCCACCATCCCCATATCTTTGGTCCTCACCAGCTCCAATGACCTCCTCAATTTTCACATAGGAGGCATCAATCTCCTTAGCAAATTCCCTCACAGCCTCGTTGGGGTCCTCGTAGGTGAAGGGATCGATGTACAACTTGGTGCCTGAAAGAGAATTGACCAAAAATAAGCCGGAGAAAAGCACAAGGGGGGCGGGGTGGGGGGCTTTACCACCCGGAAGATATACCAAAGTTGGGTGAGATATTTACTATGACTGAAAGATTTGTGTACACGCCGGATCTGTCTTTAAAGGAAAACAAATGCTCTTCAAGTTTGTAAGTTTTTTAAGATTGGGGGTTTATGAACGGCTTCACCATCCAACCAGATGAAGAACACAACCCAAAACCACATGAACCCAATGTCTGCTTTAACAAATACACCATCAGAAGGGTTCCGAGGGGTGATCTAAGTGGCTCTGACCGCGGGATATCTAGCGGCACCAGATATTGAGATTGTGGTGGACCTCCGGGGATTTTTACTCGATGCAGTATACGGACAACAGTGTGAAGAGAACAAGCGCCTGGCGAGCCGGAGGTCGGGAGAACCATCTTCTTAAAGGGGAAGGTCAGAGGAGATGTGGTGCTCAGTATTACAACCCATTATAGATAGCTCTGGCTGGACCCGGAAGCAATTTCATGATATGGAAGTGAACTGAAGGCCGTTTCTATACACTAGAAATTCCTTCCAACTTACTGTGTCCGATGAGGTACTGGCCCGGTTTGTCGCAGTACTCTGGCTCCTTGTGGCTCCCATGTTTCCTGCACCCAAAGAGAGACAAGCAAAGGTTGGAAATCGATAGTAATGACGATGAAAACATTTGTTGTACCTGCCGAGTGTTCTACAGAGCCGGGGACGTGACCTCCCCCCCCCCGAGATCTTCTCACAAAATGCGTCACACTGACATAATTCAGGATTTAGGCCCCATTGCCCCGCCCTACCCCGGCCCAACGGGTTTCTGGTCAGCATTGCTCCTTGTAATGTGGCTTATTGTCTAGACCCGTCTGGGGTGAATGGGATGGAGAAGATGAACAGCTAAATGTCAGGGTCACTTACCGTACACACACTACTGCGATAACGATAACCACGATCACCAGGATTGCCCCCACACCGGCCGTCCCAGCGATCAGCTCCACCTGAGGCTGAGCCTTCTCCGAGTCTGGAAAAAGACAACGTGTCAGCCATGATGTAACAAGACGGATATGACCAACCAAATGCGAATGCTGGATGTGCTACACATGCCCATAATACTTCACTGAAG